CACATTTTACTTAATTCCAAGCTAACCTTATTATTTCTTCACAGCAATAGTGCCTACTAAGTCAACGTTTTGTGTCTCAATTTTTGGTTGAATAAACAGACTTTCACTTCAATATACACTTTGTTTACTCAAGTCTTTGCATATACGAGTCCATTCTTTCTTCAATTCTTCAATGTTATTATTCACATTTTGCATTTAAGGCTCTGAATTTTGCTACATCCTAATCCATCAAAAGGATCTGAACATAATTTTCTCAGATCTTGTTCCATAGATTTCCTCACCAAAACATAATATAGTAAAATAAAATACTTCATTTGGAATCAAACTACAAAACATAGTTCAATTTATTTTCAATTTCTATCCGAGTGGGATATGATTTAGTTAATGAGTAAATTTTAAATACAAAAAAAAAAATTCAAGATAAATTACTAAAGTGGGGATGTTTTTGATTCCGCTAAAAGTTGAGCATTATAAAAAAAAATAACCCGTATCATGAAAAGATACAAAACAATACAAGGGGATTTAAATCAAACACCCAACAAAAAATTAGGATAACCCATATCGTAATATCAACGTAACTGGATCAAGAGTTAAAATCGAAGAAAGAGGACTGTCATCTCTTAATTTTACTGAAAAACGCTTCACTTCACCAAAACACCCATGAAAAAATTAAAATCAAGGACGATATCGTTCAAAAAAGCTAGAAGAAGATTCTAACCAAAGAAGAGAGAGGGAACTAACCGGGGTCACGAATCGAGGCTTTAACAGTATAGCCACGCTGAAGTAAGAACTTGACGATCCATGAAGCTATGTATCCTGATGCTCCTGTCACGCACACCGTCTTCGCTGCCTTGCTCATTCTGTCACTCCCTCTTATCTCAATATCTCTTTTTCTCTCTTCTCAGTTGGGCTTTAAGAGGGCGTGGTAGGTGAGGGTGTTAGAAAAACTCTATCCCTCAGTAGTCAGTATGAAGACGGAAGTATCTGGAAAGTACACATCTTCGATAATCCATTTTTATCAAAATTTATCAAGGGAGCGTTTGATGCAAGTAATTGATGGAAGAATATATATTTTAAATAGTAACGTAATGAAAAGGACCATACTATTTATACATAAGAGTGTCAATCCTCCCCTCCCCCTCCCCCTCATGTGAGGGGACTTGTACATCGGGTGTGTACAAATAACATTTTCCTAATGAAAAATATATGTTAAAAATAAGAAAAATTTGTGAGTATGATAAAAAATAATACTTTATTAAAAATATGTGGTTGAAAATTAATTTTTAAAGAATAAGTTCATGTTTGACACACATTCTTTCAAAATGCACTATTTTAAAATTCATTTTCAACTACAAAATTTTCTATAAAATAATATCTTTCATCACACTAATAACTTTTCCTGACTTTTTAACTATATATTTCCCATCATATCACTACTTTTAAATAAAACATAGTATCAAACACTCCCTATTTTTGTAAGAATGTAGATCAAACATGGTATAAAATTCTAGTAAAAAAATTTTATGCATAAATTCATAATTTTTTTTCCTACTTTTAAATAAGACATTCTCTATAAAAATTACTTTCTTAAAAAATTAAAATCAAATGAAGACTTACAAGTAACATATATGAATTATACATTATTACTTTTATTTATTGACTTTATTGAAAAATTATCGCCCATTTGGTAAGAATTAAAATTTTAATTTTAATTTAGGTCAAAGTTAATAATTAATTTTAATTATATATTTTAAGGAATCCATAAATTTCCAATTATATATTTCACCAATTTGTATTGTCAACTAAAAATCAATTTTATATATGTACTGAATTAAAATTGAAACTAGGCTTCTTAATTTCCAGGGACAGTGATTGTTTAATTAATATTAATTTTTTTTCGAACAACAAAAAAAATAAAAATGATTTCTAACTTGTTTGACCTTAAATCTATACAATGTATGGATGATAATGTATTCTCTAGAATTAGTCGAGGAATAACAACTCGGAAAAAAATAATATTATCTAGTACGGGTGGTAACGACTCCTATATTGATTTTTGTTGGAAAATTGGTTTTTATTAGTTTGTTTAACCATATTTTGATCAATTATTTTAATGGGTCCCGTTAGTTGAATAAAATATTTCTCTGGTCAAGTGTGTTTTACTCCACGAGTAGATTAATGTAATGTATTTATTTTCTTAAAACCAATTTAAAGTGAAAGAGAAATTAAAGTCAAAATATGACAACTTGAAATTGAAATAAATTTGAACTGAAATTGATGGGAAATTAAAAAAATGTCAATCCCACATAGGAAAGCTAGAATAATATAAACCACTTTATATTGTTCAAGTTTGGGACTCGAGTTTGGCCTCAAAGGGTATCAATAGTCTTTGAAGGGGAGAGAACCTACCTGCTAGTAGGTTGAGCTAAACCCCACACGCGCGCGCCGTCACCACCTTCCGTCCGATCAACCTGCTCGGCACGGGTCATGGGTTGTGGGTCTTTGACTTGTGCCAAGCTAATATATATTTTTTAGTAAAATAATATTTGATTTATATTATTTTATTATTATTTAAAATAATATATATAATTAAATATAATAAAAATTCCCCAATTTTTCTGTGTGTAACACGTGGATTCTTCTAAAAGAACGGTTGATTATCCAAACGGTTTATGTCTTTTGAAAACACAATTTTTTGGCTGTTGTGTCTTTTGGACACAACCTTTCAACTTCTATAACTTGACTTCCATACCCCTGTTTTCATTCATTCCAAAATCAATTTTGATTTTATTCTTTTCCCGAAATTATTCATTCATCCTTGCATTATTCATATTTTGCAATTTAGCCTCGAAAAATTATTTTCATGCATTTTAGTTTTCCAACTTTTAGAGAGATCAAAACACGAGTAGGTTCGTCGGGTCTTGTAATTTGTAGTGCTACTATTACAAGTTGAGATCGTTGTATCTTAGGAGACGAGTGCCAGAATACCGTCGCATCAGTGCGGGACATTATCGTTAGTCAATTATGCCCAAGTAAATTAACATTTTATGGCATTCACTTTTTCACCTAGGTAATAATACTTTGTATGCTCATATTTTGCAAGAACATCAACCATATTTTCGACGAAAAACATTGAATCGTCGTCTCCTATGACTATCCATCTGATGCTCTCATCGTCCTTCACCTCTCGAAACACTTCCATTATTCCATGAACCATTCGGATCATGACCGGGGCTTGAGCTTGGGTTTCTTGAAGAAACTTAGTTAGGTTGTCCGAGACATGATACGGAGGCACGCCCTCGACCAAGGTTGCAGCTTTCCTTTTGGAGGTTTGTCTAGATATAGATAGCCCTTCATTACCTTTGGCTGCCACCATGACTCGATGTATGCAATTATGTCATGCCATGCTTTTTCAGAACCAAGAAGCCCAAAAACTAGGTGGCTGAGATTTGTTGGAGTATCCTCGGAAGTTTGATTGATACAAGAAGTAGTGGAAATGGGGGACCTTTTTAGCAATGGAGAAAACAAGCTAGGATTTGCTGGGCAATTGGGATTTTGATATGAGTGGAAAATGATGATCAAATAAAGAAGAAGATCCACAATCAGTTGAGTTTTGCATAAGCTACCCACAGCAAAGTTATCAGATGAAAATCCAAGTCTTTCTTTGTTTGAACAAATTTTGGATGCTGTTGACCCCAAAAAACGAGCTCAACAGATACCGGGCCCACCCTTGCCGTGTCCGGCACGTTTCCGGCACGTTTCTACCGGAATGCTATCGGTAGCTCTACTGTTCATGAACGTGGGAG